AAGTACACTGCTGAGGGGAGCAGTGGGTGGGCCAGGAGAGGTCTGCTGCGCCATGTGGGTCACCTCCGGGGCTGGGGATTGAACTCACACTGAAGCAGCTGCCACTACCTTGCAGTGCTGCATCCTAACCCGTTGTGCCACCAGGGAGGACCTAGAACTTGTTATTTTTAATGACTATTTTCTTTTCCTACAACCATGTATAATATCTCTAGTGACGGGGACAGAAACTTCTAGTGTCTGAGCCTATACACACTCTCTGCATTCTTCCTCATTAGCAGAACCCATTTCATTCAGGCTAGCAGTGTGAACTTTTAAAACAGTATCCCCCACAACTCCTTTACAGTAAGCTATGGCCATATGATGGCTTCTCTTGTCAAAGAATATAAAGATTCTAGAGAAGGTATCTCCAATGTGGGTAAAATAAAGAGTGGGCTGTTTCTATTTTACTTTCACTCTTGCCTTCTAGAATTTAACCACAACAGACAGAATTTGGACAGTTATTTTGGACCAAAAAATGACTTAGCGATAAGGATGAAATTCTGTAGGGATAGAAGATCTTGAATTCCTCATTCCAATCACTTTCATTTAGTGGAACAATACATTTCTATGTTATCTAAATCATTGCACTTTCCACTCTCTCTAGTAAGCAGAACAGATGAAAACCCCAGTCACCACCACCAAAAAAAAAATCATTCTTATTATAGAATTAACCTTTTCATAGTTGCCAAATTAGTACTATGCAATCTAAAGATTATCAGACCTGTGTAAATAGGACCTTATTTAAATGAAGATATATATTCAACTATGGACTTTACAATATAGTATTTCTCATTCTTCTCATTTCACATGATTGAAAACACCAAATGCACAAGTATGATCATTACATGAAAAACTATACTTGTTTGTATTTATTCTGCCCATTTCCTATACCGCACAGACTTCAAGAAATACTACCCCACATCCATTTTCCAAACAAAATACAAATGACAAAGTTAGTAACTTGGACAATATTTTATATTTCACTATTTTGTAGAAGGAGGGGGGAAAGAATAAACAGTGACAATAGTGAATGCTACAATTAGTATAATGATGATAGGTAGTAATTACAGACACAGTAATACATAATGCTTATAAAAGTTTTCTACATAATAGGCACTGTTTCCAGCACTTGAAATACATTCAAAAATTCATTTACTAACCAGATGGCTATTTCATGTAGGAGAGTATCATGAGTGCTTCATTCATATAACAGTAATGTTATTAATAATGACAAAGATGATAAAAGCATCAAGTGTTTTCGGCCAGTACTCTGCCTAATGTTCTGTATAGGCCATTTCCCTTGATTCTCACAATATCTTGTTTGGTGAGTATATTGGAGTGTTCCCATTTTGTAGATGAGGCATTAGAAAGGGTAATGAACATTTGTAAGTCTATCTAGATCATTTGGCATATGTGATTTGAACGCAGGTACTTTGACTTTAGAGTCCATGCTTTTAATCACCAAGTTACACGGTACCTAGCTCACTGCTGATGGAAAATGCTGTACAAATTCGTGCTGGATGAATGGGGAAGTTACCAACAAATCTGAAGTAGTTCTGTACTGGCAATCACTGGATCTTAAGGGGGAAGTCTGTACCTGAGTCTGCATCTAATTTAACATAAATTTGTCACCTATAAACATAATGCAATCATGGGAATGAGTGACCTCTATCACTTTAGCCAAGTTCTACTGATTGGAATCACAGGTTCTGTCCTACACTTAATTATCCAAGGGAGTGGATCATGACGAAACAAGTCCATGTCAACGACAATACTATATGACTCCAATTATATGACATTTAGAAAAAGGCAAATCATTGATTGCTGGGTGTTACAGGCAGGGGGAAGGATGTGACCTGGAAAGAAAATCACAGTAAAGTGTGGGGGTGATGCTGTATATTCTGACTGTGGCCTTGATTATATGAATCTATACATGTGTAAAATCCAAAGATGCATATACTGAAAGTTTTTCCAAATGGAAAAATACAGCCATTACATAAAAAATCAATTTATTTGTAAGTATGCTTTATAAACTATCTGCTTCTCTCTAAAACATAGTTATAACAAAATAACACTCATTCATACACTATTAGATAACACCAGTTCCATTTAGTAGATATAAAAAGCCATGAGAGAATGTCATCCGTATTTTAACAGTGATAAAAATCTAGATAATGTACAAAATTATAACTTGCCTTGTGTCCGTAAAAGAACTGAAATAAACTGAATTCTAAAGGGTGACCAGCCCCTTAAAGAGGGATATATACAACCACTGGCTTGTGCTTTTGAAAATGTCATGTAATTGGATCCATGCGGTACTGATGTGGACATGGACTTTAAAAAATTTTTTTTGGCAAAACATGGGAGAAGTGGCTGTTGTACAAGCAGGGAGGCATCAGCTAAAATTTTAATGACTTCTTAAATTCTTAATGGGCTAGTGTGTCAGTAATTTGGAATATTTGGAGCCACTCACTGCCAAATTCTATTTTCACAGTCCTTAACCAGAAGCACACAAATATGAGTGGGCACAAAGCAGACAACCAAAAGGACACCACATGAGTGCTGTGTGGCTCAGGTGTACAGGAGACAGTCAGCTACTGCCAGGAAGAAGAGAAGCAGCAAATGCTCTCCTCCTGAAGGAGGTGAGGCAAAAGAAAACCTGTCTGCCTGGGGAGGGGAGGTGGAGACAGAAGACCCCGGTGCCCTGGACAAAGGCAGGAATCCATTACTGCTGAGGGAGAAGCAGAGGGAAAACTCTATCCTCCAGGAGGAGTAGGAAATGGTCAGGCCTACATAAATACAAAGCAGTGTTCAGCTACTGCTGCGGAAGAGGCGAGAGTGTACCTCCCACCAATACCAACCCTGAACACAAACCAGAGGCCAGCTACTCTGCAGGGAGAAAAGAATGCTGAGAAAGCACAACCCG